GATAGTGACCTGTTTCCTGATTATCTGGGAAGATATTTTAAACGAGAAATTACACGACAAACAAAATAGAACTAGCTTATAAGCGGAAATCGGTGCGGTGCGGTCGCTGAACTTCCAATTTATAACGAAGCTAACAAAGAAAAAATAATAATAAAATTGAATAATTTTAATAACCTTTTTCTGGCTTTTAACTGAAATAAATAAAATTCTTCTTTACTAGTAAAGATAATTTAATAATAATAATAATAATTTCTCTATTCATTGTAGTCAATTTACCTTTTCCTAATTGATTCTTGAATTTTTACAGGATAATCATCAAATTCGTAGTNTTCCTTTAACATTTTTAATCGTATCAAATTTATTTTATTAAACGATTAAGATATAAAACAATGTAAATAATATATAATATTTTATAAAAAATCTTTTATTGATATAATAAAAAAAATTATTACATCGATATGTATATAACTGTATAACCGATGTTCGATATTACCTTTACAATAAGCAGTTATATCACAAATATTTCAAAATTTAATAATATTTTGAGCAAAGAAAGCATGGATATATTTTACAGAAAAAGTAAAATTATAAATTTCCTTCGTCGTGCCATAAATTAAAGCATTTTACTTTCAAAACAGAATACTTATGACGATATTTTTATAACAGCTCTTTACAAGAGACCCAAAAAAAAAATTATATATATATATAGATATGTGAGTGCGTATATATGTGTTGTAACTTGTATTATAATAATAATAATAATAATAATAAAAATGTATGCTGAAAGCACAGAAACCTACAGTAGAGACATTTTTCTTCCTAGTTGACATAAATATGAAGCAGACTCTGAAGAATCACTCATGCGACAATATGCAATTTAATTCTGATCGATGGCAGCAATTCAAAAAATAGGACGTTATAGAAGTAAGATCCTGGAAATTAGAACAAGTGTCAGTTCATTTATCTCTTTATATTGTTATCGCTTTAAGATTCTTGATCTATTTATGTTACCGCAATCGATAATAAATCGTCAATAAAAAAATAATAATAATAATAAGAAACACCTTATTAATGATGGTTATAAATATTTTATAGCATAGTTTTACTATTGTTTACAATTATTATCGATTAGATTCGTAAATTCTGCGTGCAGAAATTAATACCGCTTATATATATAATACGGAAATTATATATAACAATAGTTCCTAGTTGATTTCCAATTTTAGATCGATTGTTTTTACTTTTCTGATATTTATCAAGTAGACAATTGAAAGTAATTTGAACTCTTTCAGCTCCTTCCACTTTTTAAATTTAATTTTATTTGATTAAAAAAAATTCAATCTCTGAAATATAAAAATATTAAATATTTAAACATTATTTTCCGACAAATTCCTTTATTGGAAATGGCATAAAAATTCTTTATTGTATAAATAAATATATTACTTTAAAATGATTTATTGTACTGTAGAAAAAAAATTATAATGATATAAATAATATTTTTTTAATGATATTTTTAAAAAATCTTGGATGGGAACATGTCCTGGTAGAAATAACCTTGTATATGTTAATAGAAAAAATTACTAAAACAATAAGTTAAACAATAAAAGAATGCAGGATGTACAGAAAGAGTCATCATATACATTTGTATACATCTGTAAACTTATCTAAGTCGGTGCTTACCTATTAACTCTTAACATTAAGAAGCAGGAAAAGGAAAACAGAAGAGAATTTATAAGTAGCACAGTTCAAAGGTCATAAAATTCTTTCAATGTTGCTTGACCTTTGCAAGGAAGCTAAAAATAAATAAATAAGTAAATATACATGTATATTTTTAAATTTATAGAGTGAAACATTATAAAAAAAATTAGTACATAACATGATGTGAATTAATAAATTACAATCCTATTAAAAATATATACCAATATAGATTTACATGTAGTTATGAATAATATCGGAATATGTTGTGAATATTTCATAACATTAGTAAGACAAATAATGATAATTGTGAGCTTATAGACATTTAAACATATAAAAAACTGATTTATATTTAGAAATAGGGAATTTTTAATCTTAAAATGAACACATTTATTTACGTTAGGGATGACATAAGCAACAGGAACTGTTGAAAAGTATAGCATGATGTGTAACGCAATACACCATTGCACAATCGTAATAATGAAAAAAAATGCAAGATCTATGTCAGTATGAAGGATGTAGCATGCTTACTATACTTTTCGTACTTGATTTTATCCTATGTTATACAATATCATTTTTCCTTTACTACATACATTGCCATTATTTTTTACCCATGGAAGTTTTTTTTATATTATTATTATAAACAGTAAACTAGTTCAGATAAGGGATAAAATTCTAAATATAAATTTATATTTAAATTTCCTAGTTTATGTTTCTAAATATTTTAAAATATTAAACAAGTAAATAAAATATAAACTGTATTTATTATTATTATTTAATAATTAATTAAAAGTTATTTTTTTAGTGTAGAAGAAATGCTTTAAAATTTAAAACTTTGTAATAAATGTATATTATTATTTTTGTAAATCATAAAAATTTACATTTTCTCTTAATGAAGCAAGAAATAAATAAGTTTTCCACTTTAAAAAATGTTTAATTAATTAAAATAGCCTTTGAATAAAATTATTCTTTGTACATTTACAGAAGATTAAAGTTATTTACCAAGTTCAAAGAAAATAAATATATTAAATGCAATATTTCAGAAACATAATTATTTTGTTTTTAAAATACAGAATATTTTATTTAATTTTAATTTCAAATGAGTTGCTGCAATTGAAAGACATGAAATTTTATAAAGTTTACACTCATTTTTGTTTGAAAATATTTATATTTTTCATTCGTTTTAATGAAATTTACAAAAATAAAATGCATATACTATAAACTCAAGTTTAAAAAATGAGCGTGGTCACATATTAATATATATATTATACGAATTATATAAATATATAAGCTTACAATTATGCAATAGCGTATCCAGATATCATCGTAAGGGAGACATTAGGAATAGGTTAATAGATAAATCTTAAAAGACATATTCTTTTATTTATTTACTTTTAATTTTTGATTAGTCCTCTTTGCCTCTCTTTAAATGCACATATACTTATACAGGTATATATACAGTAAATACACATATATGTACTGTACGCATAAAATACAGTACAGTACATATACATACACACACACATATATATTTTTATGCCTTATATTAATAAAAAAAATATTTTTCATATAAGTTTATAATTTTTATGTATATTTTTGTCCATGTACTGTACAATTGGTTTTATTTGCACTTACGCCTCTGTATGTGTTCTATATTTACTTACGAACGTTTATTTATTAACTTTTATTTATATTAATACAAATTCTGCTTTTAATGTGTTTTTTTATGTGTTTGTGTGTAAAAACACGTTTGTGCAAACACGTTTTATAAATTTATTTGTATTTTCGGGCATTTATTTATATAATTTTTACTCGTATATAATTATAATAATTAAATATCTACACCAAAAATTAATATATACAGCATAAGCTATTTTATATATTATTATTATTTTGTATGTATTAAATAATGCGTAAATTAATTATTAATTTAAATTTTAATTTACTAAATTATATAAACGTACTGTACAAACACGACGAAAAATTTATTTAATAATATTAAAATATTTAATATTAGAAGCATAGAAAGGTATTTGTTTAAAAATTTAATATATAAGTGATTAATTTATATCAAAATTATACATTATGTAGCAATACATTATAACTAGTTACCGAATACATATTCTTCATTAAAGCGAGAAAATTTGCAATTTTACAGTTAAATATCTCTTTAAAGCCTTTAAAGTATGTCAACACTATGCCTAATTATAGTAAATTCCACCAAATATGAGCTATATATCGAGTCAACCACGTGTAAAATGTCGAATGTTATCTGCATGAATGACATTTTCGTCATTAACACATTTAAGTATAGAAAATATCTGATATAAGTNTAATATATTTTTATATATATATATATATATATATATACGAGCGATTATAATAATTATATTCGATAAATTAAAATAATCATATTCTGTACATGACTATATATTATCATTACATTAATATTGCAAGCGTGTTAATTTAAATGATTTTGTTTAAAGGTGTAAAAAAATCAATCTTATTTAATTTTTATGCTAGTATTTTCTTTTTTTTAATATTAAAAAAGCAAAAAAATAGTTTTCGTGTATTGAAAGACGTAAAGGAAGTGATGAGTAGCATGCAACATCAACAGTTATATGTCGTAAAACATGCAAACCTTTTACTATTTATAAACCAAATAAAATATAAAACAGCATTTCTTTAGCAGTTTAACTATCTTCTTTCAACAAACATCACTAAAATAGAAAAAAAGGGAGAAAGGTGTTTTTACATCTTTTTCTTTATCGGATAATGTCTCGCGGATTTTATACAATTATTTATATTGTGGCCCTATGAATCTATTTATATAATTCCTAATTATAAAGATAAAATTCATTACTTTTTCTTTTATATAACATTCGTCTGTAACGAAAGTTTGTATATACTGTTCAATACAGTACAACACAAGACAAACTTAAATCTTTAATGCGTGAGAGATATTTTGGTGAAATATAAAAGACGGGAAACTGAAAGCACGAATATTGAAAGTTCTAAAGAAAAAAATAAGAAGAATTAAATATATATATAGAGGAGGAAGACTTGTTCTTCTAAGATACGAACATAAAAGCAATTAAAAGTGAAGAATTTCCGCTAAGGAAAAATATATTGTCAGAAACTTTGATAGCTCGGGGAGGAGTAGAACCTGAGCATGTCCAATTACAAATAATATAAAAAAAGGTATATATATAGGACTATAAGAAAAGAAAAATCTTTTGACCAAGAAAACAGAAAAATCATTGTCGAAACGGACAGATAATCTGCCCTCTCTTTAACCCCTCAATTAGGACATGGGTCAATATCCAGCGTAAGGTCAATCGCCTTTATCACATAACCTATAATTCAGTACAACCAGAACTACCAGATTTTATTATGTTAGAACAACAAGACTCTTCTGCATCTTTAATACCTCATCAAGAGTTGTATGTATTTTTTCTCCTAACAATTTATTTTTACTTAATCACAAAAAATGCTGTTTTCTTACGATTAATAACTGTTATACTGTATATATTATATTTAATATGTATAAGCAGTGTATATGAGGTTAGTAGCTTTCGTAGGAAAATATTATTGCTGCTGTAATAGTAAATGCTAGGGGGTAAAAAAAGGATAATGGCGTGATTTGCTACAATAAATCGATGTTTAAATCGTTAATGATGTGGCAGAGAAAAGAAACTGATGAAGGAAAAATAAATAATATAATATATAAAACTATAGTTTTAGGAAAATAGTTAAAATTTAACTTAGATTTTAAAGATTAGCTGATTGATTAAGTGATATATTTATATAAATATTTAATTTGTTTACTATTTAACCAATTTATAAAAATAATAAAAATTAAGATAGTTGTATTTTTTATTTTTTGTAAATTATTTATTACGTTTAATTAGATAAATAAATAAAATAAGAACAGTTATTAAATATAAAGAATAAAATATACTACTTTTAAAACATTAATATTTAATTTATTAATTAATTTAAAATTTTTTAATCTGTTTTAAATTTTTATTACATTTAATTTAAAAATTTCTTATTTTATTTTTTAAATCTAAATAAATAAATACGTGTTTGTTGCATGTATTTTTAATATTATTTTTAATTGATAATGATTGTTATATTTAGTGNTTATTGTAGTAATATTTTAAGCATTTTATACTTAAAAAATAATATATTTAATTAATAATAATTACCTATAATTATATTTCTTAATTAATTTACTTTAAAAATGTGATTTTTTTCCCTTTATTTTCTGGTCCTTTGTTATAAGTAATGTTTGTAATGAATTATGTTTCATGACTTGTAGTAATTTTTCAACTTGACTCAATTCCTTTGAAAAATGAACCTTTATTGCAATGCTAATTTTCAACACTAATTTGCCTCTGCATGAAACATCTAATCATGTTTAATACATACGTATACATATATTATTTACAATATTTTATAATGAAAATTTTATTTATGTCTAGTAATATTATTGATTATACTTTGTAAGATATCTTTTCAAAGTTATACAATTTTTAATATTATTATTACTATAAGTATGCAGAAGGCACTAAAGTAAAAAATGTATAAATCATAACATAATATATATTCCAACTAGAAGATTTATTATTAATATTCCAGTGGAATATATAAAGCTTATATTCCTCTTCAATGAGCTATAACTATAAATATAGATCTTGTGTAAAATATACAAATCTTCAAAATTTTTCTAATAAAAACTAATAAAATTTTTTTAAGTTTTATTTTAAGAATTTTATGTATTGAAAGTCGTAATTTTTTCTTAAAAAAATAAAATTTATTAAACCATATCAACACACTAAACTAGAATAGTGTAAAGATTTAAAGAACAAGATATGTTAAGAAAGTAATAATTTTAATTAGCATTTCCTTATCTATATATATAATATAATGTGGAGATTTAACCAAATATAACACTTGTCCTACATAAATATAATTTTTTTTTAACTATTTAAATTTTATTATAAAGCTATACAATATTATAAAATTTTAATAAGATTTGTAATCATATTCAGCTATTTAAATGATATTTTAAAATTTTATTCTTATATTTGAGAGATTTTTATTAATAAAATTTACATAAAAATATAAGAAAATTTTAGAAATATAAGATTATTTACTATCTTTTTGATAAAAAGCTTTTATAAAATTATTAATAGTTCCTTTTAAGATTATTTAAAAGAAATGATTAATATATGTATTTTTAGTTATGAATTTTTATATATTTTAATATATTTGGGGCAGTTCCCTTTAGTTTCCTGTGGTATTTTCTTCACAGGCTATTTCCTTATAAATATAGGTCATATCTTTATGTACTTTTTTTCTTGTTACAAATAATTACAATAAACAAACTAGAATGACAATGAAAAGTATGCCAGACTCTAATACAATTCATATTATTTTATTACTTAATTTCTTTTTAAATTTGAAATTCTTAAAATTAATAATAATTATTTTTATTTTTCTAACATTGATGTAATATTTAATGATTTTTAATTATGCAATTCAATTATCTATCAAAATTTATGCTTGTGTATTGAATAATTTCTTATGGTTTTTACTGTATAAGAATAAATAAATAATGTTATATTTTATAACATTAAGTCAATTTAATTTCTTAATTCAAAGGTTGGTTATTTGGAATAATATATTATAAAAATTTGCGTTAATTTCGAAATGTAAGGCTATTAAATATTTATTTAAATACTGAATGTAGGAAAAACTTGGCAATAATTGATTCTTATCTGTTTAAATATGCAAGAAATATAAAATAATTCTAAAAATATAGAATATATATGAACAAATTATCATTTTTTGATAAATATTTTAGATATTTCAGCTCTACTTCATTCTAAAAAACTATCCTATAATAGTAAATGAATGTGTAAATGAGTTTGGTAGTGCCATGAGATAAAATAATTATAAGCAGCAATCCATAACAATAATTTACAATCATAAATAAATTTCATATTTTTGTAGTTAAATATATAACGTATTTATGATTAATTTATAAAAATAAATATGAGGTATGATCTTGTTTATTTGCTTTATTTATAACTATATTTTTTAATAAAATATTTTTATTTAATATGCATTAATTATTTATACGACTAGAAAATAATAAAAAGTTTATTTGTTTATGAGAAAATTCCAGATATAAAAAACAAAAACAATTCTTTAAAATATAATTATATTATAGAATACAATTTTATTAAGATAAACAAAAAGTTAATTTAGTAAAGAATCAAGATAAAAAACTTTCAATAAACCTTACATAAGTTAAATTTAATTTTTGTTTTTTGCGTTTTTTTTAACTATAGTATATTTTTGACTTATTTATAAACTTACATTTACCAGAATAGCTTGTAGAATTGCAGAAACTCAAACAGATTTTATTCAAATATATCCTTCAAGCACCAGTGAACATAATTGTCTTTATGTAATACAGGATATGTTACGCTATTTATTTACATTGTAATAAAAAAAAATTTTAAGTAATTTTTCTTTCTTTTCTATTACTGTGTAAATATTAAGAACTTTCCTTTGTTTCTGTACTTGCAACTTAATAGTATTCTATTTTAGTACGTTGAATTTTGTTAAATTTTAATGTTTTTACTTCTGCATAAAACGAATTAAATTTCTATTTTTAAAAAATTTATACAATAAATAATAAAGTAACTATTAATATTTTAATTTCAACACATTTATATAAATATATATTTTATTATTTATTGAATAATTTTAATTTTTATTCGCTAATTTTTAACAATTTTCTATACCTCGAATGTAATTAAATTAGGTTTATAAACAAAGGAAAAATTACATAAATAATCCAATTTTTTTTCAATTTTAGAAAATCAATACGATCTTTTTAAATATTCTAAATTAAAATATTTAATAAATAAAAAAGTTTGTAAAAGTTTGAAGTAAATTTTTTTATTGAAACATTTAAAAAAGTGTTTGAAGACAGAGTTTTTGTGAGATTGTCAGATCAATGTTACTGCAAATATTTTGGCAAGTATCTTTTAATTGGGATTAGAACAAGCTGTAGAATCTAGTGATATATAACCTTACTATAATCCTCTACTCGGATCGTAAATGTATCATGAAACCTTTCGATATCTTCAACGGTAGATAATGCGTTATATGGATCATCTTTCAGCAATCGTTTCCTTCAGAAAATCTTCAGAGTGTTAGGAGGAGAAAAAATATTCAGAAAATAAAGCGAAATTTTCCATTTTCTTCTGATAAATTTTTCTCTTTTTTTTTTAACAATTTGCATTGCAACATTTTTGTTGCAGATTTTGAATATTATCACAATTTTAATGGAGGATAAATTTAACACTAAATAGATGTTGCATAATGTTTTCAGAATTATAAATGATTTTTGTAAACAAATGTATATATTTGTGAGGTCAAACACACATTTGAACTCTTAAATTAGCATTTATTAAGTAGGACAGCTTACTAAAAATTGCAGCACGATTTATTATGGTTACAGTGATTTTACTAGCACAAGGTCATTGTAAAAATGCATCTTCCACGATATCAGAAACATTTTCAAAATTATAGAGTCCCTACTAGAACAAGGTCAGTAGAAAATATATGTTTCTCTTTCATGCTAACAAAGAAACATCATCAAATTATCATAAAAATCTTCAGTTTGAATTCCTCCTTAATGGTCGCTTGGTAAAATAACATAACGAGTCGCTTCACTTCGCATCGAGTCAACCATTAAATAATGCGAGAAGCCATAGATTATATTATTTAATGGTCGACTCGTTGAAGATTTGGATAATTAATGATGAAAATCGCAATTTTTTGGCTTGAGTAAGTTTTAATCTTAATAAGTAGACTACTTTTGACCTTGCCAAACCATGGTGAAAGCTGATGACCGCGACAGATTCGAGCCATGAAGTAAATCGTAATTCTAAACTTTTTGGTCTCTTCACCAAAAAAAAAAAAAAGCAGGTTAAGAAACTTAATTCTTGTGTCCTTTCAAGCTTGATAAATATATATTTTTTTTCTCTTTTTCTGTAGACTTAATATACGAATCTTCATTTTATCACTGATCAGTCTCAAATAAGGACACTAACTCGATTTACAACCATTTTCTTTTTGTACTTTTTCTACGTAATTTCATTATTTTGTTGTTTGAATACATGATTCGACTTAATTTTAAAGTTTCCTAATGTTAGAGAGGTGAAATGAGATTAAGAAATGCAGCAATGGATAAGAATATGTAAAATTCTACAACTGTTCACAAAAGTTGTACGAATTGTATAAACTAATTATTTTCATTATTTATGCAGAATTCACGAAAACAAATTAATTTTAATAACATCTGTCGATAAGAATTAAGCGTCAAAATTATGCTTGTTCTTGTAGGTTTGTGTGTAAATTATACATGCTGATTTATAATTCAAGTTATTCGTAAAATATTTAATTAATTCATAAATAGAATAATGAAGTGTGAAAAGTGAATAAATAAACTTATTTCTTTATTAAATGAAGTAACCTATTTTATATTCTTAAATATTAAAGTATCATGCAATATTTAAATCATATTAATGATTTTCAATGAAGTTTAGATTCTTAAAATCATTAAATTAAAGCAATAAATTAATGAGCTAGTTAAATGATCGAACTATAATTTATACAGCATAATTTGCTTGCATAAAATTGCCTTTCTTTGGTCTTACGAACGAGTTTTGATCTAGTATCGTATTAAATAAAATAAAATATTTTTAAAGCCATTTTTTGCTAGTCGATATCAACGGAAATTTGGATTTAGTCCTGATTTACAGTTGTTTTTTTCTCGTAAACATCTTTGAAATTCCTGATTAATTCCTTTGTTTTGAGCAGCGGCTAGAGAACTACTAGATAATTCAATTTGAAGAACTTGAGTTTTAATTAATTAAATCATAGAATCATTAAAGTATTCAGCGTTAAAGAGAGTACGTTTGTTAATTTATGGGATAACTATTTAAAGTATTGAAAGTATTGAAATTAAAGTAAGAATTGATATCTTTATAATAAACTTTTACTTTTAAAATATTAGTAATTATTTCACAAAATATGCCACTTGATTGTACAATTTAATAGTGATATATAATGTACTGTACAGTCATATAAGTTTATAATTTTTATGTATATTTTTGTCCATGTACTGTACAATTGGTTTTATTTGCACTTACGCCTCTGTATGTGTTCTATATTTACTTACGAACGTTTATTTATTAACTTTTATTTATATTAATACAAATTCTGCTTTTAATGTGTTTTTTTATGTGTTTGTGTGTAAAAACACGTTTGTGCAAACACGTTTTATAAATTTATTTGTATTTTCGGGCATTTATTTATATAATTTTTACTCGTATANTGATAAAGTTATAAATAATTTTAAATGTTTCTACGAAGATATAAAATCTTTTATCAAATATAAAAGATACACATTTCATAAAATTTTATTTTAAACAATCTAGCAGAGTTGATTAACTTTCCTGGCAACATTTGGTGGCGCCATCTGTTATCATATTTTATTTTTAAAATCTTTATATTTTTAACTATTATAAAATGAGAAAAAACTTAATTTTGAGGATAAGGATGGGTTTTGTAAAAAAAATTGTAAATGCTAATAACGAGTAAAATCGTTATTAAATCAGATCCGACTGGAGATGCACACGATCCCCTTTATCTCTCCATACCCTCGATCTTTAACCATTAAACTTTAATAACATCAATTTCTCTATTAAACAAACCACCCTGCAAAATTTCAGGAATTTTTGACAAAAAGTACAAGAGCTATTAAGCTACAAAGAGTGTGAACAAAATCGTGCCCCTCACACACACATCCATACATACAGAAATTTCCTCCGATTTTTTTTTTTTTTTGCATTTCTCGACGTTTCAAAGGTGTCCTGAGTTTAAAAATGTAAAAATCTTGTGGATCATTTTCCCCTCTGTTATATATGACAGCCGGGAAAGTAAAAATAAACATTTTCATTAAAATATTAAATACGCAGTTAAAATGAATGGCGATTGGATAAAGAAATAGATGGAGATAAATTAATTTCCGCCTCTTGTTATTTCTTTAACCAATCCTCGATCTAATTGCCAGCACGTGTTAAAATCTTTTAGAAATGTATCATTCATATTCAATGATGAACTTCCTAAGTTTACAGGAAAATTTTAATCTGTTTAACTTCCTTTAAAATAGATAAACATCATTACATTCATTTATAATATTTACTGCATTAAATATGCCATTAATGAGTTTATTTTTAAGTTATAAAAAAATGAAAATTTATTATTGAAAAACATTTCTTTATTCTTCGTATTTGAGTGTCTGAAGTACTGTACTGTACAGTACATTATAAACAATATTATTTATTATAAATTTAAAAAATATATAACAATCATAAGCTATATTTAGAAATTCTTATTTTCTTAAGTAAGAGAATTTGTTGAGATTTAAAAAGAATTAACTTTTTATTTTAATGAAATATTGATTTTTGTTTTTTTAGATCCATCTGCGCACATGCCTAAAACGCATGATGCTAGTATTTTACCTCCTACTTCTTGTAGGAGGTTCTCTTTCACAAGACAGAAATTCTCTTGACGGATCCAGAAATATAACGAGTAAAACAATAAATAAACGTAAGTTCATGGGGAAAACATCAATATAAAGCTAAATTATCATTTAATAAAAATTTAAAATAAATTAAATAATGTTTTTCAGGCTCGATCTTCACTATAAATATTAGTCCAACGTTCGAGCAAGAAGAACCTCATAATAACTATGGTGGCTTGATGACATTTATGAAGCCATCCAGGCAAAGCAACGTTTTTACGTATTGTTCTAGTGGTTCTAAATGTCAATTTTTTCTTTATTGCTATTTATCGGGTGGTACTTTAGGTTCTTCTTGTGGACCATTATTTTCTTGTTGTGTCAAGAAAAAACCACAACCAAAAATCAAAAGAGTTAACTATGGTCCTGTGCGCAACGATCCATGTAAGTATATATATATATATATTTGTTCATTTTTACCTTATAAATATTTATATTTATGAATATATGATAAAGTTAATATTTGAAATTTCTTACTTTTTTTTTTATAAAATAAAGGGCTATGTTAAGATATTTTATAGAGATATAACACTATCTTGAACGTGTACAAGATACATTGAATATTCATTTTCGTGCAGATTGCGGAAGAAATTCTGTGAAAACCAGCAGAATTGTTGGTGGAAATGATGCCTCGTTTGGCCAGTTTCCATGGCAAGTATGTAGATAAAAATCAAATAATAATTATAAAGAAATTTTTATTTATAGTATTAAAAAATCATATATAAATTAGTTCCAGAAATTCCCAAAAAGTTCATAATATTAGTCTTAAAAAAAGCAATGAATTTTAATAAAATTATTAATATTAACTATTGATATAAGTTAAAAATTTATTTTATCATTAATTAAAATTATAAGCACAATTTATAATTTATAAAATTAAATATTCTTTAAGCGTTTTGTATCGNCATACTGCACTATATATATATATATTTAATCTTTGTTCTCGGGTTTATTGTTAATCTATTTAGTCTTTATTGTGATGGATAAACAGATATGTCAACCATGAACGATATGTCAAAGATCTTATAGACCAGTAGCTGAAGATGCATAGTTAAACTACTACCGGTATGACAACTTGAAACTACTACAAAATATGATGTATGGCTTATCTGCCATCAAATCTGATATTATTGATAGCTATCATTTTACTCTTTGTAAAATTATCCAACATAAAATCATATTAAATATGTATAAATATATAAAAAGCATCAGTTAACAAGTATTTATATACAAAAATATGTTTATGTATTGCGTATAGGAGAACTTATAAAAAGTTTCTTTCATTTTTTTTATACAATTTTTATCTTGGTATTTGTTAAATATTTTGTTAGCGTGAATTTCTATATCAAGAAATAAGAGAAATAAGCTATATTTTCTAAATTTAAAATGTTAAAGTTAAAAAATTAATAGAAGAATAAAAAAAATATATATATACATTTATTTATTTAAAAATTACGTGTGTAAATGTGATTAATATCTTAACAAAGATTAACAAGTAAACACGTTAAGTTGCATCTACGTAAACATAACTCATCTCTTGAAATTCATGAACACAGACATTAATGAAAGATCAGAGCTTATGAAAATGGCAAAATTCCCAAATATCTGGATGAATTGCCACTCAGATGCTATCATATATTTGATAGTTTGGTTGGTGATAAATAATATCATACAATTTAAACTATTCTTAGCAACGTGTATTGATTTATTCTTAAACAGAAACATAATTTTTTCATACATTTTTCTATATTGAATGCTTATAAAATAATAAGACAGCATCAAATGTAAGATATAGCGTTATTTTTGGATATATTTTGTTCTTAATTTTATCTAGAACATATATTTTTGTCAGTTCCAAGCTTGTTTTTAGTAACAGATTGATATCCATGTTAGAAATTGATTTATAGATCTGTTTAGTAAGATATAATGATCAAACAAATAGGTCTATGTCGACAAATTTATCTACTTTCTTGTCAGCTAAAATTTAAGATATGAATCGATATTACATAATTGATGAAAGTATCAACTTTAAACAACTATTTGAAAAGTCATTAGTAAGTTGAATATTAAAAACATAAAGAAGCAGTATATTTTTTAAAATCAATTATTGGGAAAATTAGCAAATGATTCTAATAATAGCTCCTCAATTAAATTATTGCTAAATTTAAAATTAATTCGTTTCTAAATTTTATTGTACTCTGTAAATGCGAAAAGTTATTTAATTTTGAAGAAATTAATAAGATAAATTTGGGAGAGAGAGAGAGAGAGAGAGAGAGAGAGAATATATTATATAATAAAACACAATATAATCCTTTGAAGAATAAAAAAAATTAAATTTTATTTATAATATTTCGTAGATATTTTTTTAAAATTAGAAATTACGTCATAATATGATTGGTTGAAGAGCGAATTGATTAATTACGATATAATAACCACGCCCTTTAATTCTTGTTTACGTCTCTAACCAATCAGCGAAATGAACGTATATCGCCTTAAAAAAGGTATTTAATTTTTGTACAGTAGAATTCCATAACCAAAAAATTCTAATTAAAAAAAATTGTTAATGTATTTTTAAAATCGAAAAATAGCATTAAATTCTATTATACATCTGCAAAAATAATTAATTTACTTATTAAATATATATTTTTTAATTTTCATAAAATGCCTGCCGTTCAATAAATTATACAGACTATATATATATATTTTTTAATATAAATAGATATTTGAATTTATAGGAAGAGGAATATCCTGATTACAGACGAAAAGTACTAGACCAATGTCTTAAAGAGTTTTCAAGAAGAATTAGATTAAAATGTTTAATTAAACCGTATTTTAATTAAGAAAGATTAATTTGTAATTAAGTGGACTAAAGATAGGAAAAAAAGGAATTAAACAATATAATTAAAAGATTTATAAAGATATTTATTTAAAAATAATCTCGATAGATATAGTTTCAGTGTTGTATTTGTTTGAAAATTTTATGTTCTCAACGAATTTATTGATAAAGTTCTTCTAATTTTGATGGTTAGAAGAAGGATTTTATTGATTTTTAATGGAATTAAGAGAAGACAATAGCAATTAACATTGGAGCACAATTCTTTAGAGAAGGGGCGGTTAAGTACAGATCAAGTAGCAGATAAGGATCACAAATATCAGCAAGAGAATCGATGACCTGTACATTCACCTATCAATTTTATGAATAGAATTTGAAGCATGCTTTGATATTGAAAAATCTCATCTAAAGGAATCTTTTCTTTAAGGAAACTGATAATGTTGAGGGAAACATTAATTTAAATTTAATTTTAAATTTATTTTAAAGCTAGCTTAAAGAAAATCTCAACTACTGGACAGTTTAAATTAAAAAAAATGATTCATAGACTTATTTATAAGATTTATATCTTAAAGTTTACTTAGAAAAATCGATTTAAATCCAAGTATCGATTAAATTATACACGTGTTTATCGTTTAAAATTAGAATTTATGGCAAGAAGGCAACTTGTCAACATTTGAAAAAGTAATTACAAATTCGTACATTTTTTTCTTGTAAATTACTTTCTTGTAAAAAAATTTAAAAAAAATAACATTTAAGAATTCAATTTGTAACAATAAAAGCAACATATTACAGCAGGCGAAAAGCAAAGCCAACATAAACAACATTAACTTGACTTTTAAGTTGCGATCCGGTCATTAAAAGTGCTAATGCACTGTTAACACGGTGTGTGTTATCTCATGTAAAGAATAAGAATAATAGCTTTGTATTTTTATTAAAAAGCTATTAACGTTAGAAAAATTAATAAAGAACATTTTAATATAGAGTTAATAATAAAAAATTGTTTGAACGCCGAAAAAATATTTAAAATTTTTATCTAAAAATACCAACTTAACCATACATCATCTCAGCATACTGCACTGTATATATATATATTTAATCTTTGTTCTCGGGTTTATTGTTAATCTATTTAGTCTTTATTGTGATGGATAAACAGATATGTCAACCATGAACGATATGTCAAAGATCTTATAGACCAGTAGCTGAAGATGCATAGTTAAACTACTACCGGTATGACAACTTGAAACTACTACAAAATATGATGTATGGCTTATCTGCCATCAAATCTGATATTATTGATAGCTATCATTTTACTCTTTGTAAAATTATCCAACATAAAATCATATTAAATATGTATAAATATATAAAAAGCATCAGTTAACAAGTATTTATATACAAAAATATGTTTATGTATATAAGCGTATTGTATAATTTATGATCATCTTAAGTTTATTTTCATAAAATTTTTAAAAGTTTTGTCTTTATATTTAATATAATTATTTAAACGTGAACAAGTTCGAATTTAAAATTGAATGAGAATAATATCGTAGCGTGCATTTATTTTAATTATATTTTAAATAAGAAAAAGTAATTTTAAAAGAGGAGGAAGATAAAATTTCAATTTTTAAGTAGAGAAACTATTTTATTCATGTCTTGTTTATCGTTGTTTGTCATGAGATCTGACATAATTAATTATAGTATTTTAAAGTTCCAAATATATATATTTATTCATTTATATCGCTTAAATAAACCAAACTCATTAAAAGTTCACAAATTCCATTAAGATATAGGCCTATCTGTTATAATTCTCTATTTATTCCACTTATTAAGAAGTTTTCGTTTATTTCTTCAGTTATCTTTATTTTGCAGTTTAATACTCTTTAAAATGTTCTAGAGAAATCATTTTTTTCTATAAAATCTTTTCAAATATCTTATAACGTTCAATAAATATAACAGTAGGTGTAGAAATTTACATGATACAATTTAAATTGATATATTTCAACAATGTAATGGGGTGTAAAGGACACTAATCTGAAGAATGCAGATAATTTTCCTGAATAAAAATTTCGTATTTGAATTCCAGTTCAATGTCAAATTCCGTTCTAGAAGCTCCAGTTTATCCTTGATGTATGATAATTTGATTTATAAATCGACATGAAGTTAACTGAACTTATAAGCTCGTTTTCTGTGTTAATTATCTTTATATAGATCAACATCCTTGTAGGAAATTCATGATTTTGGTCGTTAAGAACATTAAAACGTGCAAACATAAATTTAATCGTATTTAAAGTTCGTAATTGTTATATAAATAATTGTATTTTTATCAATCTTTTGCTGCAGAGTTATTTTTAAGTTGTTTTAATTAAAAATTCTACTAAAAATTCGGAAATATAAACGATAAAAAAGAGCTAAATTTTAAATATTTTAATCTAAAAATAATTGTGTAAATATATATTTTAAGTAAATTTTAAAATGCTAATTAAGCATGAAACCAGTGAAAAGAGTAAATAATTAATTAATTGATTTTTTCCTTTTTATAATTTTTCTTGAATTAATTAAATGATAAAAAATACATATTAACATACATAATTAAGTTAATTTCAGTTAATAGAGTTAATTTTTAAATACTGGAAGTGCAATTTTTATAAAAATGGGAAAATATCTTAAGAGTTGTTTGTTATATTAATTTTCATCTTTCTCGGTTCTTATGACGCTGAATTTAATGTTGTTTATATGCAAAATATTTACTTAAATAAAATCCGAATTAAATGCAAAAATATTTTGTTCGTTTAAAACTAGTTTAAATTCATTTGCATTAATTATATTTAATGTTATTTATATGCAAAATACAACATATTTTTTGAAAATTTATGATAGGCACGCTAATGTTTTTTCATGAAAAAGTACATGGAAGGATGAATTTAAAGATAAGATTTAATGTTTAAATGCTATTAAATCATTCAATAAAAAGTGGATTTTTCGTTAACATTAAATTAAACCTTTTTACTGAAGGATCTTTCAATGGTCCTTCAGACAAAGAATTTGGTTCTTCATCCATCCTTCATTTAGTCTCTTTATTGGTTCTTTAATAAAGGATTTAATATCTTTAAATTAAATCCCTTATTAAGTCCTTCCTTCATTGAAGGATTCTCAATGGTTTTTCATTAAAAGATTTGCTTTTTTATTAATCCTTCATTTAAATTTTACGAATCAATAAAGGATCTTTAAAAAAAATAAGGCTTTAGTATTGTATAAAGCAAATAAAATTGTATTATTTATAAATCAAACTATACATATACAGTACAGTACAGTATTGTACAGTACGTAAAGAAGTTAATGCTCTTATAAACAAAACAAAAGAAGCTTAAAGAATCAATAAAGGACTCGTATCATATAGGATTTAGTGTTATATGTGAGATAAATAAACATATTTTCTTTAAAAAGAATAATCCTAATATTCAATATACTTAAAATTTACTTACGGACAAATCGAGTTAATTTATTAAAAAATAAAACTAAATTCTCCATTTAATATATATCTTTTAATATTATGTTTTTCTTACGCCGCTAATAGGCTACTTAATGGAGATTATAAAGAATTACAATTCATTATAATCTCCATTAAGTATTATATGTAATGCAAAAGAATTATATGTAATGCATTATCAATTTGTTTATGCATCTGTAAGCTACTTAGTGATTATTTAATACCTTTTCCCCCTTTTTTAAATTTTTCTTCGCAAGGTTTTAATTCAAGTCGGCGGAAGTAGATGCGGAGGAGCATTAGTTGGTCGTAGACATGTTGTGACTGCTGGTCATTGTGTTGCTAGGTATGAATTCTAAAGCCATAAATGGTATAAATTATAGTAAAAAAGTCATAATCTCATCTCGTTCATCTTTATAAATTACAGATCTCAACATAATCCATCGAACATCAGAGTTACTTTGGGTGATTTCGTGTTACATTCCAATATCGAAAGTCTTCCAACTGAAACAATTGGAGTCAGTCAAGTAAAACTTCATCCTAACTTTCGCTTCACACCTCAGGCAGATCGCTATGATGTTGCTGTATTGATTCTTAAAAGAACTGCACCGTATCGTGCTAATATTAAACCAATATGTTTACCTCGAAAAAATGCTCGTTTCTTAGGAAGGACCGCTTACGCTGCAGGATGGGGAGCAGTTCAACCAGGTTCGAATCTAAAAATATGTTTATAAAATGCTCGTTTGAGACATTTTTTTGTTAATTTTAACAATATTTCTAGGCTCAAAACTTCGTCCGAAGGTCCTCCAATACGTTGGTGTACCCATTATAGATAATCAGGTATGCGAAACGTGGCATAAGAAGAGAGGAATTAACATCGAAATTCACGAAGAAATGTTGTGTGCAGGATACGAAAGAGGTGGAAGAGATGCGTGTCAAGTGAGTTTTCAATTGTAAAACCATTTTAACCTTTTAGTTCGAACGTAATTTTACTTTTTTATGTTCTAGGGTGATTCGGGAGGACCATTAATGATGAAAGAATATAACGTTTGGTATCTAGTAGGCATCGTTTCAGCAGGTTATTCCTGCGCAAAACAGCAACAACCAGGCATTTACCACCGAGTTAGTAGCTCTTCAGACTGGATATCTTCTAATATTAATTAAGAAAAATTAATATTATATTAAAAAAACGCGAAATGTTCCTAATTGGAAATCACAGCAAGGGCACGTGTCCTATGTAATAAAAAATCTCTCAATTAAATAATAATAATAAATAATAATAATAATAATTAATAAATATTATAGATAGATATATATTTTTATATGTATTTTTGAATGTGTAATGCCATTTATATTTTGTATTTATTTATAACTGGCGTTATTGTTATTGTTGCAAACTGGTTAAAATTCTGAACTAGAATTGAAGAAGATAGACTTAAAAAAATGGAAAAAGTACATTAAAAATCACCACTTCATGCTGTCTGTAATGTTTTAAATCTATTGTACAGTATATTGAATATTTTTTTTATATATATATAAATGATTTTGCATTTATAATGTCTCAGTTTCTTGTCTTTTTTGTTTTAATATTCAATAAATAATGAAACTGTAATAATAAATTTTAAAAATTACAATGTTTAGAATGTTTCTTTTTATTGTTTGTAAACATTCTAAATATTTAAATTTAAGAAAATAGAATTTTTTGAGGTAGATTTTGTACTTTAAACTTCTTTTTTTATATTGTGCTTGTTTGTATGGATGCATTAAAATTTAATTAAATTGAATAGAATTAAAGATTAAATTTTAATGTTGTTGCTCTAAAAGATACTTTGTTTATATTATAAAAGAAAAATTAAATATAAAATTATAATATTTATTTAAAAAATGTCCCAAACCTTTTTTATTTATCACTTGAATATTTGGAACATTCATTTCTACACCTTTCCTCAGGTAATCTTTGGCAAGAAGAGAGTTATAAATAACACAAAAGTCATTAGAAAACAACACGATAACATCAATTAATAATTATTTGGTTTGATATGATGAAAGATGTATAAATCCCTGAGACTGTTTCCATTTTTTATGAATAGAGTCTTATGCATTTTCGATAACAGTTTTGATCCATGTCTTGTAAGATGTCATTCTCATATAAACTCCTGGTAAATTCGGATCTGCACATCTAATCCCATGAGAAACGGTACCAACTAGAACCCATAATCCATTTTCTCTTTGAATCATCAACGGTCCTCCTGAATCACCCTACAAAAGACATCATTCTTAATCTAAATTCTATCAGAATAAAGCGATTTCTGAAACGAAATTTATACAAAAATTATAATTTATAACTTCTAAATTCGTTTTTTAAAACTATAAACCTCTCAATTTTGGTTCAATTTTTATCGATCTAGAACGTAGTTTTGTTATAGAATAACCGAAGTAAAATTCATCTAACGTAAAAAATCGTTTCAGTAATCGTTTTAAAGGCTTTCAAACTACAAAAAATCTATATAAGAAGTCATTACTTCACAAGAATCTTGACCACCGTCTTCGTATCCAGCGCAGATAAACGTATCACGAATAGCTTTTATGTGGCCAGCAGATAAAAACATTTTCTGGCATTTACTGTTACTCACGATAGGAACGTGTACTTCTTGCAAAACGTTCGGAATTGAACCACCTAAAAGTTATATAAATTATAATTTAAATTTATAAACTAAATAGTTATCATATATTTAGAAAGTTTAGAACTTAATACAATTAATTATTCTTTAAAACAAATTATGGGTAAGTTATAAATTTAAAGAATCTTAAACTACCATGAGAAAGCTTCCCCCATCCAGAAACGTGGGCTATTTTCCCTGTAAAATCTTCTTTATCGTTTGGAAGGCAGATAGCAACTATATGAGGCTGAAATTCAACTGGTTGATCCATTTGTAGTAGTGCCAAATCATTTTCGAACGTTTGAGAATTGTAATCCCTATGCACGATCATCTTCTTGACGTTTCTGGTGACTGGTTTCAATGATTCGAAATCACCACTCAGGTCATATTCTCCCAAAATTACGATCAAAGATGATAAAAATCTATAAAAAAAATTTAAAATAAAAAACAGAATATCCTTTCACTCGATATTCTATTACAGTAATCTATATAAAAGCTATTTTTTGCAGTTAAGTGCAAGTAGAAGAGAAGAAAAATGATAGTAAAGTCGTTGCAAATCTTCCGATTTTTTTGTGATTAAATATAAAATTCTAAATAATTTTCTTATAAATAATCTAAAATTAATTTATGAGATTAAATTATAAGATAGAAATGCTATTATAATATTAATTATGATACTTGCCCGGGTTGACAATGTGCAGCAGTCAACACGTATCTGTTATTAATAAGTACCCCACCACATTTATTCTTAATAAAAATTCCTAACCACGTAGCTTCTTTAACTAGAGCCTATAAAAAAAAATGTATAAATGCTTCGTAGTAATAATGTTGCTCACAAAATAATTTTTAAGTGATTTTTACTTACTTGCCACGGCCATTTTCCAAAATATGTATCTAAACCGCCAACAATCCTCCCGTGAGGTTTTAATGGCCTTACTCCACATTCTAAAGATAATAAAGTTAATGTAATATATGTCTCGTTATAACGACGTTCGCTTATAATGTCAGGTGTTACTTACGTTTTTTATAGTTCCAAACAATGGGCTTTTCTGTTTTAACGCTTTCTATAACGTTACTTTCTATAGAAGGGTGTCCAATTGTAGTAATAGGAGATGTAGTAGCTATTGTCGATATTAAACTGTCGATAACCGAAGATAGACTCGTTGCTGTGGATGAAATTTCGCTAGTTGGAATCGATGTTTGTTCTAGAATATCGACAGTTGTGTTGGAGGAATATGTTCCAGTTTCAGTTATTTTAGTAGGTGTTTCAGTTTCGGTTATTTTGAGTGGTAAAGTTTCAGTTTCTGTTGTTTTATTGGAAAGGTATTGCTCAGTTTCTGTTGTTTTATTGGAAAGATATTGCTCAGTTTCGCTTGTTTCAGTAGAATCGTCAATGCTTATATTCGTTAGAATGGTTTCAGTCGCTGTTTCTGTTGTTGTTTCTATTGTTAGTTCGATTTGTTCGAAGCTTTCCGTTGTAGTATTCTCTATCCTGGATGTATGATTAGAAGATATCGCTGTATCTATTCTAGATATCTCATTGGATGCATTAATATTACTAATATTGCTAATGGAACTCGTAAAATTTGTCAATGCATCAGACAGTTCTGTCGTTTCATTATTCGTTTCGATTGAATCCTTATCAATAATGAGTATATAATTAGAAGATATAACGGCAGTCTTGTTAGTATCGATAAAGCCATTTTTGAAAGGATGGAGCGTTGGAGGTTGCCGTTTTATCCCAACTGTGCCAAAAACGGTGGTAGGGTTTTTGTACTTGCTACTGGAGAAAGTTTTTCGAAAAGGCGTGGTACCTATATAACTCGGTGTATACTTATGATAAGGCATGTACCATTTACTGTAATAATAAGGACTAGATCCCGTCCACGTTACAAATTTAGGATAGGGCGTGGTTCTATAAGAATCATAGGTGAACTTGACGAAGGGTGACGTTTTGTGAACGAATTGAGTCGGTCTTTGATCATCCAAATAATTTTGAGGACGAAAGTAGGAAGGAACCGGCGATGCCGTAGCATTATTTAGGAACTTACAACAGGTTCCGAAAAGAAATCCGTCCGTACATGTTGATAAAAGTATCCCATCTTTAATAATACATTCCCATTTAAAGACGCAAACACCCTGTTGACCAAGTGCATCTTTACAACTTTTACCTGATATCTTCAGGCTCCTTTCTGCAGATAATAATAGAAAAAACTGTAAAATTATATTTAAAATAATATATTTTCAAAAAATAGCTTTGATTCTTACGTGATTCACTATCTTCCGCGATGCTTCTTATTGCAACAACTGTTAAAATAAGGAATCGAAGAGTATTTGAAGACGTTAAATAGCAACTTCCCATTTGATCTAAAAGAAAAAAATTTAAAAATAAAAACAAATAGCAGAGACATTAATAATAAATTTTACAATATTTCTTCCTTCATTCTCCACATAACAAACTAAATAGACATTTTTTTTATTTGGAAGAAAAAAAAGGGAGAAGAAACGCTTGATTCATGAGAATACGTTGACCCATCAACCAAGTGAGAAAAAGTTGCGTGTGCCATTTGACATAATCGTGCCTTAAGGATATCAAAAACACGCCTTCTTCTTAATATCGTGTGCTTCAAACTTATGAATAAAAGCAGCGAATCTGAAATTTTTGGGTGTTGACATTTCCACTTAGTGAATAGAAAATACATCCGAGATTTTTGAACCTTTAACCTTTAATAAAATGAAATATTTTGTTCAGAGAAATTTATCAAGACTTTCAAATAGTTTCCTGGAACTGTCGTGCATTTGAGGAAAATTCTATTTAGTTACTAAAATAATTTTCTTTCAATAAATAAACATTGCAGTTATGCACCAATTACTTTCTGTTGTATATAAAAAATGCATGCTGATTACTAAATTTACTAAAATAAGACAGTCTAATCATCTATTTATTGCCCATTTCCTTTATTTTGCAACTTTTTGGGGAAAATTGAATGGTATTCAAAAAAATCTCACACGATTCATTCATGGATTGTTAATTCTGCAAGCTGATAGCTTCCTCTTCCTGCTGTCATTTAACCTTCCTGCAGTTTGATACTTTACAGTTTGGTGAATTCTTCACATGTAATTATCTCAAATTTTTTGAAAAATTTTCTTTTATATCAACATAAAGACGGATTAATTTTGCGATAAATCTTAAAAACAGCTTCAATTCTCGACGTTAATTAAGGTCCGATTTACTTTTTCTACGGGTGAAAGTTGAGCTTATTTAACAAATTATTTACATTTTCTATGCTCCAATATTTTACAGATATTAGCCTATAGAAAAGGAAAGAAAAATACGTTACCTTTCTTGATAAAATGCAGTTCATATTAAGAACTACGTGGGAACTTTTCTTTTGCAGAATGCTTCAAAATCCTTGATGGATTCTGATAAAATAACGTTGCATAAAATGAAGAAAGATATGCACGAATAATGGCAACGTTTCATCGTCGAACCAACAATTCTCTCTTGATTCACGTGATGTGATAAGGTTGTTGACTTATGCCCTACTTGGTCACGTGACACATTTGACCCGCTGTCGAGAAAGACATTACATAGATCTCTTTTTACTTGAAAATTTACATTTTTTGCAAAAAATTCAGCATGGAAGATCAAGACGATTTCTTTGTCTATTTATAGAAAGTAACTGTTGCGAGATGCTAGATGCGCTCGAGACACTAATGCAGCATTATGAATGCCTAAATTATCTTCATTATAGAACTGATAAAATCTAATTTCGATACGAAATTTAACTACTATTTTTTTGTTTTTTTTTTTTTAATTTCTCGAGCCATTAAAAAGATCTAAATACACGAATATAAGTTAAAATTAAATTTTAAATTGAAAATTTTGTTATTTAATTCATCTGAAAACTCTCATGTCACAATTATCATTGCAAGATCTCTTTACAAGATATCAATTTACATAATATTCACTAGTACAATAGGAAGAATATTAGAAACGCAACATTGCTCGAGTTGTTTGATGAAAGTGATGTCTCCTATCTCTAACTCAGTTAATAAAGAGAGAAACAAACCTATCTTTCTCTTTATTAACTATTTAATTCCTGTTTAATGTCATTGAGAATAATCATTATAAAATTCGTAATCATAGTAAAGAAGCTCGAGAGCATTTACCGAACTTAATACAAAGCGATGCTAGATGAATATAGAACTTTATCATTATTTTTGTTACTTTTACTTTTATAAATTAAATGTATAGAAATCTGAAATTATATTCAATATTTATATTCGTAAAAGTCAATATTTTATTATAATTTTTAAATTTATTTACACAGAAGTATCGGATTTGCATGCATAAAAATGGATTTTTAAAATTAATATTCAGCTTTTCTGTACAGATATATTGTTAATTAATATTATTTATTTATTCTTTATACAAATAGTTATTTATTAAATTAACATGAGTTCTGTTTAACTTATATTAAATAAAATTAATGAAAAATATTAATTAATCTGTACAGACATTTTTTTACATAAAATAATTATTTATTATATCTATTCAGACTTTGTCTAACATAACTGAATATTCTTAACATTATTTTTTAAAATTAAATTCCGATTTTAGTTATAAATAGGGAGTAGCGAGTCTATTCAAAATAAAGATTTTTACAGTTGAAGCAAAGGAACAGAAACTAATGCCCAAGAAAAATGTATTTGAATTTAAGACGTATTTTTTCACATTGTTTTCATTATAAAACATGCTTTATAATGAAAAAAACCTTATGGTATCTCTGTTTATATTTTCTGTTAATACATATATAATAATATAATTTACATGTATTTTTTAATTACATTCAATTGCTTTTCTCCTGAAATTCCCTTTAAAAATAAAAGAGTATTTTCGACGGAAAAAACATTGTAAATAAANTTTCAACGTAGTAGATGGCTTTCTGGTAGAGGTAGCATCTTCAGACTTAGTAGGATTAGTGGCCAACACTGGTTTTCTAGAAGTCAAATCGGATTTAGTTGGATTAGTTGTGTGTATCGGTCTCTCTGTGATTTCGTCTGGACGCCACGTACTCAAACCCGGAGGGAATTTGGTGGGTTTGAGGAAAGTTTTTGTGGTAGATTTGATCGCGACGGTTGTTTTCCTGTCTTGGGTGGTATATTTAACAGTTTCTTCTTCCGTGTGGTCTAAAACGGGTTTGTGAGGATATATGTCATCCTCTTGTATGGAGTTCTTCATTGTTGTGAAAGTAGGCAAAGGTGAATTAACGGGTAACTTGCAACAGCTACCAAAGTAAAACCTATCCAAACAGTAGGTTAGATGAGTACCATTAGCTCTGTGACAACTCCAAGCAAACATGCAAATGCCCTCCTCTTTTGTTTGATTGTTTCTGCACGATAACGGTTGGATAGAATCTTCAACTGAAAGAAAATTGCGAAATTTTTAGTTTCTCGCTTAATAAATTCCTACTTTTTAGTTACGTTATTAACCGTTAGTGCCATCTGGAGACGTCGTTAAGAACTATAATCTAGTTCTTGTTCGAAAACATGTGCGCGCTGACTCGCAAATTTTATTTCATGATTTTTAAAAATTTTATATTTAATTTTATACACAATTTTTTAAAAATTAAATTATTTATATACATTTTGGCTCTTTATAAATAATACAAAGATTGATATATTTATTGTGTTTTTTAAGAAAATTATTATTATTTTTGGAGTTTTTATTACAATTAAGGAGGGACTTTATTTCGTTTAAAATATTATTATTTGATTGATCCAATCCGAAAATTTTGTTATTCTTGTATAAACTCCCGGCTGATTCGGTAAGGCACAACCTATACCCCACGAGATGATACCCGCTAGAACCCAACGTCCATCATCCTCTTTAATCACCAAGGGTCCTCCGGAATCTCCCTAAAAGCGTAGAAACATATTAAAAGCATGATAATATCGGTAGTGGGATAGGAATTAAATTACCTACTTCACAAGAATCTCTCCCCCCTTTGGCTAATCCAGCACATATGAAGATATCTGGAATGTCTTCCACATATCCAGCTTTCCTATACATATCTTCGCACTCTTTGTTGGCAACGATAGGAACTTCTACTTCTTGTAACTTTTCTGGAAGTGGACCATCTTGATACAAAAATAGGAGAAAATGATAAGAATTAGGAAGCTTATAAAATGGCTGACGTGCAAATTTATGGTAATAATTGAAGAATAAAAGAATCGTTCAACTCGCGTTTTTTTTATTTTTATTTTTAAGCTAATTTTAAAGATAAAGTTTCGAGCAAAAAAATCTCTGCTTCCTTTTTAAAATAATTGCTTAAACCGTTTCTAGATTAAATTATGTTTTTATCTAATTATACTTTCATAATATCTGGAAAAGATACACAATTTTATTTGCAAATATTTCTTCATTTTTTTTACATTTAAATCAATTTAGGATCGTTCTACGAAACATTAGGCATTATACGAAGACCTTTAAGGTTAATATTTTTCAAATTACAATCGTGTTTACTAAAAGTTAGCTAAAATTTAAGCATTGTTACAGTGCAAAAATTTAGATAAAATTAAAGAAAAATTGGAAATAATTTAAAATATATTTCAATATTGTATTTTTAAAAATTTTAACTTTTTTTTCAAAATAGTTGTATGCATTTTTCCTGCTTGTACAGAATTATAAATTCATCTTAATTTATGTTGAAAATAAAGTGAATAACGGTATTTTTAGAGAAGAAAAGTAAATTTTGTTTAAATTTATTTTAAAAAATTGCATTCTCGTATAATATTTCAAAAAGAATTTCATTTTTGAAACTGTACCAGATTTCATTAGTCTCACCTTCATAAAGCCTTCCCCATCCAGCTACAGTAGCAAATTCTCCAATGTAAGTGGAGTTTCCCGTTGGCACACAAATTGGCAATATATTCTGTTGGAAAGGAACCGGTTCATAAAATCTCAATAGTGCTAAATCGTATTCGAAAGTCCTCCTGTCAAATTTTGGATGAGAAGCAATCAATTGAACTCTCCTTTCTACATAGGGTAGATATTCTTCTTCCGTGCTCAAATCATATTCTCCTAATCTCAAGAGTATGTCTGTGGTAGGAACACTAAAAATACAAAAACAATAGTATTTATGATTAAGAAAATATAAGTAAAATATGTTATAATGGTATGTCATAATATTACCCTTCAACACAATGAGCGGCTGTGATGGCCCAAAATTCATTAAGAAGCGCAGCACCACACTTATGTAAAAATGTATTTTTCTTCCATTGTCGAAGGGATATCTATAATATATTTTAAATTATTTATTATAATTTAATATATTTAACTAAAAGTATTAAATCTAATTATTATTTTCTTAAAAATAGTCTAAAAGCATCATTGATCACTTACAACCCAAGGCCATTCTCCAAACTCCGCTGTAGATCCTCCAACAATTCGACCTTTGGGAGTTTTTATAGGATTTGGTCTTCCACAAACTATAAATTATTCATTTAGTTTTTAATTTCTATATTATAAATCATTAGTTAAATTTAAAACTGCATAAATGTCATTAAAATATTCATTAACACGTATTAATTATGGTAATAATTAATAATGAGACGATAAGTTTAGTAATAATAATTTATAAAATTACTTTCCTTTATAATAACGTATTTATAGGATAATTATTGCGTTAATTATATCTTTTAAAGATATAATTACGAACTTTAATATATTGATAATGAAAATTTTAAATAATAAATACAAACCTTTCCTGAAATCTGTTTGGTATCCTCCACTAGAAAATGAAGTTGTTGTTGTTGTTGTTTCTGGATGAATTTCGCTAATTGTTGTTATAATATTGTGATCTTCTGTGAAGCGATCACTGTTTATCTCATTATCCACATCGGTGATTTGTATATCATTTTTTGTAGTAAAATTGCCATCTTGGGAGGAGGTTTCCTCTGTATAACTTGTCGTAGTGTTATTGTACTCCGTCGTGTTAGCATTGTCTTGAACTGTTGTTTTTTCAACACCAGAATTTGTTGTAAAATTAAAAACATCGTAAGAGATAGTGGTAATTGTTGTTTCAGATATCGTGCTATCGCTCGATAGTGTATCGTTTCTAGTAAACATAATTGTGGAATTTTGTGTAACTATAACGTCTTGGATGGTAGAATTGTAATTAACAGTAGAAGTGGCTTCGATGACTGATGTTTCAGTTAGGTTTCCTATAGTGGTTTCATCAGATTTCAACGTAGTAGATGGCTTTCTGGTAGAGGTAGCATCTTCAGACTTAGTAGGATTAGTGGCCAACACTGGTTTTCTAGAAGTCAAATCGGATTTAGTTGGATTAGTTGTGTGTATCGGTCTCTCTGTGATTTCGTCTGGACGCCACGTACTCAAACCCGGAGGGAATTTGGTGGGTTTGAGGAAAGTTTTTGTGGTAGATTTGATCGCGACGGTTGTTTTCCTGTCTTGGGTGGTATATTTAACAGTTTCTTCTTCCGTGTGGTCTAAAACGGGTTTGTGAGGATATATGTCATCCTCTTGTATGGAGTTCTTCATTGTTGTGAAAGTAGGCAAAGGTGAATTAACGGGTAACTTGCAACAGCTACCAAAGTAAAACCTATCCAAACAGTAGGTTAGATGAGTACCATTAGCTCTGTGACAACTCCAAGCAAACATGCAAATGCCCTCCTCTTTTGTTTGATTGTTTCTGCACGATAACGGTTGGATAGAATCTTCAACTGAAAGAAAATTGCGAAATTTTTAGTTTCTCGCTTAATAAATTCCTACTTTTTAGTTACGTTATTAACCGTTAGTGCCATCTGGAGACGTCGTTAAGAACTATAATCTAGTTCTTGTTCGAAAACATGTGCGCGCTGACTCGCAAATTTTATTTCATGATTTTTAAAAATTTTATATTTAATTTTATACTCCATTAAAATTTAGAAATGCTAAAAGTTTAAACGTCACGATTATTGGAAATGTTCGGTATTGTGAAATCGACTTCATGCTTGTCATAGCGAACATGTTTCTTAAGATTTTATAATGATTTTTTTTTTGTAATTATGACCCGAAAACAGACATTCAAATCAACACTTCAAAGAATTTTCCTAACCGTACACAATCAATTATCCGGTTTCTTAAGAGACAAAAGAGTGCACTAGTCGTCGCCGAATCAATGTGGAGCATCTTGTGAAAATCGGCGACGCGGAAGTCACCGAAGTTGAACTTGACCCGGTCATTCACCTTGAACCCAACTTCCTAGTCATATGCCAGTCGAAATGGCAACACAACTTCTATTTTTAGATCAACTATCTCTGTTATAAGGTCACTCCCTCTCTACAATCAATATCGCAACAATAAAACATCGTGTTACTCATTAACGCTTAGCACAATGACATATATTTAGTACACGGCTTTTACTGCGTTTAATAATCTAGTATCAAAATATGATCTATTAGGTAAAATGGAGCCAAAGTTTCTCGACTTGGTATTATTATTTTTCATTGAAAAAAAAAGTACTCTAAACGTCTTATAAATTACCGATCTTTAAAAACTTTGGCCATTTGTGTAGCACTTATCTCTGAACTTAGGTGAAAACATTCGTAAATGAGACTTCTGTGCAGTTCGTGCCGTGTCTGTACTACTAGAAACGACAGGTTAGGGAATAGCAATAGCTGCTACTGGAAACTAACAGGTAGTAGTTGCACGTGTAACCGGTTATCGGTAAAGGGAGAGTCAAATATCCGTGAAACAGATATCTGGGGAGAACAGGACATACTACAAATGACTTCCATTTATATTAAGTTCGGTCATTCACGAGTTCGTTAGTTAATTGGCAACTTTTTAATAGCAGCGCCACCCGTGACAGTTATCGGAAATAATTTCAAAATGGACAGTCAAACATTTTAAAATGGAATTCGGCGATTTTACTCGGTTTTAAAATTGTAAAATTTCTGTACCACGTATCATCATCACTATAAAAATTTCTCGTACGTTATTCTTTTTTTATTACATGCCAAATATANATAGATAGAAGACGATCTGCTTTAGTTCATTTTCACAGAAAAGCGTAATGCCTCACAGGAAAGCAAACTTAGGGCGTCGTACTCGTAGCACCATCTGTTGGACATAAAAGCCTTAACCTAGATTATATCTTTTAATTTATATGAATGTTTAACAAAATAATATACAGCCTATGTCCACCCTGAAGTTCCATTCTAAATATTGGTGAAAAAATTTTTAAAATCGGATGAGTAGTTTCGGAGATTACCTGCTATATCCAAACTTACTTACTTACAAACACTACCTCTTTATAATATTAGTATAGATAAATGTTACACACAGCCAATCAAATCATTTTCACCTGACACATGATCCATTATCTACCAATCACACAAACAAATATTCCACTCAAGACATTTGGTAAAACTGCTGCCATTATTTCTCTCTTGCTTCAAGATTTAATTGAGGATTTCAAGCATTTACAGCACATTGATTTAAAAGTTGATTGTAATCAGCATATATTTTGACAGAAGTTATATATTTATTAAATACTTTTGTTTTTATAGTTGTTTGAAAAAAGCAATTTAATACAGATTATATCATGTATGTGTGTATGTATATGTATGTATTTATGTGTGTATATATATATATATACACACATATACAGGGTGTTTTTTTTAAACTGATGGTACTCAGAGACATCTGTACCAGCAATCTATCAGCCGGACTGTTGCCAAATTTGGGAGAGTGACTAAGGACAACATGGGAAAGAGATTCCACGAAGAAAAAAGTAGTCCCTAAATTCGCCAGTAGGGGTGAATTTGGCGCTGCTGTAGTGCCAAATCCCTACTCAGAGACATCTGTAGAGCAATCTAACAGCCAGACTGGTTAAGATAATAAAGTTTTACAAGCAACGTATGCTGAGGTAATGAAAGATGCATGTTGAACTCTGCTGAAGTCTGGAATGTGCTTCTGACGTTTGTCCTTGTCTTTTAAACTCAAATTAGGTGGTGCTGCTGTCGACCACGTCATCGTAAATTTGGATTTTGAGGTGTTACCAGCACGTTATGCAAATTCTTAGCTGTTTCGCTACAGCAGCGCCAAATCCACCCCTACTGGCGAATTTAGGTACTACTTTTTTCTTCGCAGAATCTCTTTTCCATGTTGTTCTTAGTCACTCTTCCAAATTTGGCAACAGTCCGGCTGTTAGATTCCTCTACAGATGTTTCTGAGTACCATCAATTTAAAAAAAAACACCCTGTATATATGTATACATACATACATACATATCAGTGGCGTGCCGTCATTGGAAGCGATGGATGCGCCACTTCCCTTGTATTTTCTAAAAAATAAATACATATTAATTNTATTAAAATTTTCAAATTATTTTGTGCTTTTCATCAAGTTTACTTTAATGAAAACCAATAGTAGAACAAGGAAGAAAAAAATTGCACTAACTTTCCTATCAACCAGATGTCGTCATCATTGTTTTCAGACTTTAGCTCTTAAGATTGTAACAGTTTTTCTTTTTATAGATTAATCTTCATATTTAGCAAAGTTTATTATAACATTTTTAACTGTAGATAGGTATTAAAAATGACAAATGAAATACAGCAGCATCTCAGTACTCAAACAATTCTGTTTTGAACACAAATTCTGGAAAAAGGTCACTCTGTACTTGACTGAACAAAAGCAACCTGCTAGTACAAATTTTTTATTAACAACATAATTTTATTTTTGTCATCCATAAAAATGTTAAAAATAAAAAATATGAAAATGTTGTTGATACTTCTGATCAAGATCAATGAAAAAGCTGAGATGACGACAATAATTTGTAAAGAGAAAATGTCCACATTTAACTAAAATTAACACATAATACAGTACTTTTAATTCTAACTGTTAACTAATTATTGATTAGAAATAAATTATCAATTGCTTTAATAAACATATTTTTCTTCTTGGTGTCTGTCACAGAAAAGCACAGTATACTTTTACTAATTTTTGGAACAACCCTAAATTTTGCATTAATCCATTGTTTTCCTATAGCACAGATTCTCAAAAAATGGTAGTTACATTCCAAAAAAGTGCTATGCTATATGAGGGATACCTGTATTTAATTATATTTATATATATCCTCTTAAAAGTAATAATAATAATAATAATAATAATAATAATAAGTTGAATGCCATGAAAATCTTATCAGTTTATAGATAAATGACAAAAAAATTCTTAATCTAAGCTTTGGTTTAGACCAGGGGTTGTCAACCTATCAGCATTGTTGTGCTGAAACCTAATTTATACCAGGTGCCAATATGATTGTACCAATTTTATTATACGTGGTATGATCCAAAAGTTCAGGGACTGCAGTAAGGTATGACAACAAAAGCATGTATTTAAAGTTACAGCGTATGAAATTGATTCTATCAAACCTTTCCTACATGTTCAGGTTGGTTTCACCCATGTCACATGATTAAACTGCGAGTGCTATTGTTTTCTTTCAGAGTTACCTGTTTTGCGACGTAATAAAAATGAAGTTTCAAGAACAGCGCGGCAACGCTAAATTTTGTCAGTGTTTAGGTAAAACACCTATGGAGACTTTAAAATTGCTAAGAAAGGTGTACGATGATTTTACCATGGTGAAATCAAAGATGTACAAATGGCACTGGCGTTTTAAAGAGGGTCGAGAATCCATCGCAGATGATGAATGCTCTGGCCTAACTTAGACTTCATGGAATGATTTCTCATTCCATGAAGTCATGTTGAGTTGGTCTCTCAATGTGTTCACAAAGATCGTCACCAAACCCTTGAAGAAATTGCTGCGGCTACTCACTTATCAAAAGACTAGTTGTCAGCGTATTTTAACGGAAGATCTTAATATGCACCGAGCAAAGAAAAAAGTCATGATGGAGGTTTTTTGATTCTCAAGGAACTGTTCATTCAGAATTTATTCCTGAAGGCAGAACAGTAAACAAGGAGCATTATCTAGACATTTTATGTCGTTTGAGGGAATCCATTTGTCATAAATGACCACAGATCTGGCAAAGTGGAGACTGGTACCTTCTGCATGACAACACACCTGCACATCAGTCCCAAATGGTCACACAATTTCTCGCCAAAACTCAAATTAGTGTGCTTCCCCACCCCGCCTATTCACCGGACTTAGCCCCATGTGATTTTTATTTGTTTCCATCAATGAAAAAGCATTTGCAGGAATGCCGTTTTGTGTCATCAGATGAGGTGAGAGCAGCACCACAGGAGGCCTTCAAAAAATGGCTTCCAGCAGCGCTTCCAAAAGTTATACAAGCACTGGCAAAAGTGTATCATTGCCAAAGGTGATTACTTTAAAGGTGGTTATGCATCGGCAATATAAACTTTTTAAGGTAAGGAATTTTAAGCCACGTCCCCAAACTTTTGAATCATACTACGTATATACAATATTATCAGAACTGGTCCAGTTATAACGGACTTCAAAAATATATAATTTTGAAGTTAAGTTGTTAATTGAATTATATTCTTACACGTGAAGCGCGCACACAACACCCAGATGGCGATACGGAGCATAAATGCATGCACCATAACATAAATATACAAGCAAGAGATTCATTTTTAATGTACCACAGCCAATACTGAACTATGGCTTTCATTTAAATGTGTAATTAATAATTAAAATATAACTTTTACTATTTTTCTATTCAGTCAGAGTGCCACTGAAAATCATCCTGCATGCCATAGGTTG